TACAATAATTGTATGTGTGCTCCAGTTCTAGTGAGGAAAGTGAAGGGAAATTTATGGTGCCATCTGTACTTTGCTAAATGTGGAAAGCTTTATGTAGAAAAACAGAAGCATGCATATATACCCATTCTAGCCCTGCTTTGTGAAAATGAAGCTCTACGCCAATGGTAGGTGGCCCATTGGCCACCTACCATTGGCCACCCACTGATCACGACTGACCACTGGCTCAGTCAAGTTTTAGCTATACTGTATAGAGAACACTGCTAAGACAGATGCAATTGAACATACTATGTTCAATGTGTGGCAGGGTGTTGCAAGTCTTCTAAGTGCTCCATTAGAATAGCTTTAGGCTTTTAAATATAAAGATTTAATTAAATGATTTATGAAATATTATTGTAATTGAAAATACTGGAAAGGAAAAGAAAATCTTTAGAGGCAACCCATAATTTGCACATTATTGGAAAATGTAGATTCCATAGTATGTGAGTAATCACTTCTATGCCAAGTTTTGAAGTGAGCAAGTGAATTTCAATCTTAGGTTTAAATTCAGAAAAGACCTGGTAACTACTTGTTTGGGAAGAGAGTTGAAGAGCTATGGAACAAATTACCAGGTAACATAACATACGCGAAATTGCTGGGTTATGTCAAGTAGGCTAGACGTATATATGAGTGAATGTGGTCGAGTATGTATAGGAGCTGTCTCACGTGGGTAAAAGGTCTTTCCCTGTTTCCTATATTCTTACCTTCCTTCCACACACAAAAACTTATTAGGTCGAATGATTTGTCAACACACATATATGAAGACACAAAATTGTAATCATCTTACTTGTCATAAAATGCCTGGTACTTTGGAAGGATGTACTCCATATTGTCTCTCTTCAGGCTTTCTCGTAGCTCTCGATCAGGGAGAGAATAACTACGCTGAACTTTCGACATCTCTTCAATTTCTTTGTTGAAACCCTGTCAATTTTATAAACATGAATGTTTAATGTTCAGATAACCAATTATAATGATCAGAATACAACATGTCATGTTATCATCTTGAGTTATATTATAAGTTGGAAAAAATCCTCAGGAATAATGGGGGCCTTTGACAAGCTGCCAGCTTCTTGTCCCCATTGAGGCCACTAGAGAGATTGGTGGCTCCCAGGTAAGTTCAGGTAAAATTGAACACCAAACCACACACCAGAAGACGAAGAGACGACAACATTTCGTTCCGTCCTGGACCATTATTGAGTTGACTGTGATAATGGTCCACAATTGACTTGATAATGGTCCAGGACGGACCAAAATGTCGTCGTCTCTTCATCCTCTAGTGTGTGGTTTGCTCTTCATATCTTCAGCCATGTTATTGTGACTCATCATCTGCACAGATAAAACTGATTCTTAATCAGTTAATGGGAGCCGGTCGGCCGAGCGGACAGCACGCTGGACTTGTGATCCTGTGGTCCCGGGTTCAATCCCGGGTGCCGGCGAGAAACAATGGGCAGAGTTTCTTTCACCCTATGTCCCTGTTACCTAGCGGTAAAATAGGTACCTGGGTGTTAGTCAGCTGTCACGGGCTGCTTCCTGGGGGGTGGAGGCCTGGTCGAGGACCGGGCCGCGGGGACACTAAAAAGCCCCGAAATCATCTCAAGATAACCTCAAGAATCAATATGCCTTATGCAATAATAACTTTGGCATTTCCTCCATGTAGGATGCCTACTGACAAAATTACTAGACTGACTACCTTTCCGCTTTGTATTCAAATTACCCTTAATTGACATTAATATTAATATATGTATTATGTACAGTACTTTTTCCAGTTTATGCAACAAGTTTGTAATTAATTAATTAATCATTATATTAGCAATGATGAATTAATTTCCTTCTCTTAATATTCTTATTCTATAAAGAAAATTGTTCCTTTTTTTACTCTATCAAATACTATGTCAAGCCACACTTTATTTACATGCCTGGATTTACTGGGACATTTATTACTGAAAGTACTGTACTGCAATATTAAATTAAGAGCTTAATAAATCATGGATTATGTCTGAATGAATTTTAAAAGATCAACTCTCTCCCACACATTTACTGTATATTTTTAAATAATTTTTTTGATAACATCTACCAACAACATACTTACCGCAAATTTGTCTTTAATAAGCTGTCGATCTTTGTCACGTAATTTGCCAGCCTGAATGACTGACAGTGGGACATCATCATGGTTAACCAGATAGTGTAGAACACGGCTCCAACTGTTGTAAATTAATGTTCTGAATTAGAATTTATTTATACAGTATTCCTTTTGGTGTTATTATACTATATATACACATTATATATAAGAAACTACATTTTTGTTCACCATAACGATCCACTAAGTTGGTATGCTGAGTCAAAAGGCAGCAAGGAGTAGCCACCACACACTAGCCAGCCCGCCACTGGCTGCCTCTACCTCCCTCACCTCACCTGACTCGCCCACATCCTCCTCCCACCATACTGTTTTTGCTTTTACAGTATTCACTATATACAAACATTATATTTATCTGCAATATATCTGTTAATTTATCTGCATGTTTTGTTCACCGTAGCGAACCACTAAGCTGGTATAGTAAGTGCAGACAGCAACAGGTGGCCACACAGATTGGCAGACTACGCTACAGCCCTCCCACCCTCAACTTTACTCCTCCCACAGCACAGCGCAAATTATCACAACAATCTTGCTATTATCAGAATCCTGGTTATTTATATCACAGTCAGGGATCTTCTGTGATACTATCATTGCTAAATAATACCAATTACATATATTTTTGGCATTTTTAGGCGATGCTGTAGTCACAAGCTGAACAGCAATGCTGTGAGCTCATGCTGCGTGCGCCAGCCTTGGTGGCTCACTCAGTACTGAGGCTCTCACACCCAGGAATGTTGCCCACGATTTTTTTAAAAATGGCGTCTGTTTACAAGAGCCCTGAGGAAGGTGATGTGAACCCCGTGTATCCGTGGGCCGTTTAAATCTTGCGTAGTACTCCAAAACTGCATATACAGTCTTGCGCACTTTTGCGTCAGTTACTCAAAACTTCATATGCAGTTTTGCGCAGTTTAAGGGTTAATCTAAAAAATCCTTTTATTTACCTCTGTGAATATAATCTTTTCTGCTCCATTATCTGATCATTATACATCTTGTCACACTGTGGTTCAATCAGTGCCACCAGATGCAAAAGCTCCGAACTGTGCAGTGTCTTCAATATGTAGTTGTAGTTGTTCAGACGAAACACTGCTTTCAGAGTAGTGTCACTATATGCTTCACTACGACTCACCAGTGCCAAACCCAAGTTTACCAAAACTCTTTCTGAAAATAAATAATTATATAAAATAAATAAAAATAATAATGCAGAATTTCATCAAATTCAGATGCAAACTACTGAAGAATCAATGATTTAAGAACGAAATGTTTCAAGACATTTTCCCACCAAAACTGTGGCGCTGGAAATGCTCTCCAGTATTACTGTACTTTTATACACAGAGATTAAATTAACATGATATATCAAAAAACAAATCCACAGGAACCTCATGATATAAATAACTAAGCTCACTACTAACTGGTCAGTTTTTATACAAATAATGTAAATACTGTATGGTTATAATACATCTATAGGGATATAATATGGGTTAACCTAGAACCACGAAAAATTCTGCTATCTTTTCAATTGCCTATTATGCAATGAGGTTATCATGTCTCGGTAGATTGCAATTATTGTCAAATTGCAATTTAGCATTTCCTGCCGGTATTTGATTATTTCTGGACGACATTAACTGGCAGAATAGCAGTAAAGAAGTGGGTTGTAAGACACTTCCACGGAGCTGTGCCAGGAACAGATTTATATGCAATATACTCTAGTTGTACAGCACATATATTGTATGCCTATTTAGAATATAGTACTTAATCAGTATTTTTGTCTATTGTGTGTACATAAATGATATAAAAATATAAATAGTAATTTCTTTCAAATAAAGCTGAATATGTTGCTAAAGAGCTTTGCTTTATTTTACACACACAAAAAGTATTTTAGGGTAATGTCCATTTAAAGACTCTTGAAAGAAAGGATTTTGAAAAAGATTAAAGCCAAGATAAATTATTAGTGGCAAACCTAAATACAAAAAATTAAGTAAACTTACTAATGTAAGCTCCAAGGAGGGCTTTAGCTACAAGTGTCTGATCTATTCCTCGAGGTAAATTGGATAAAGCCGAGCTTAAACTTGGGTCCCGTTGAAGCATCGGTGATAAAGTGTAGGCATATTCCAGCAGCTGTTCAGTGAAGATGAGCGCGTTACTGGTGACCTCATGTACAGTACCATCTTTAGGCAGGGCACGTTCTCCGTCACTCTTCACACTGTCCACGAAGCCCTCCAGAGCTTTCACACACTGGATAGGGAGGAAAATAAACAAGCAAGCTTATGAAATTCTTCCTTACAACTAGGGACAGATACTTTGAGGTGGTTCTCAGGATCAATGTCCCCATGGCCCGGTCTCTGGCCAGCATCACATGTATTCTATGTAGACACGCGCCATTAGGGTATCCAAACGATACCTGATCAAAGAGGCTGTGATTCATGTGTCAGGGTGCGAGCAGCTGCGTCTAACAGCCTAGTTGACTAGACCACTAGGAGGCTTGGTCAGAGACTGGGCTGCGGGGATGTTGATCCTCGGCACCAACACGGAAAGTGCAAGGTAAGTAGTCTTCCCAGGGGTTATGTTGGCAACCTATAAGAAACCAGCAGTTGTCAATTTCAATGCGGGACTAAACAAGGTACAACTTACCAAGTTTATTGTTTGGAATTCAGCAATTTCAACTGGGGTCCTGTATAAAGTTGTTACGTAAGAGTTTAAAATCACACCTACAACACCGGTATTCCTGTAGCTTCAGCAAATATCTCAAAGATGCCTCTAGAGCTACAGTACTTTAAAGCACAGGTCCTGCATTTATTTCAGTAACCTAAATATTTGTAAATCTATATGGCCTTTAAGAGTCATTATCGGTTAAGCATTATGATGTCGCATGCCAGAAACTCACTCAAATGCTAGCTTTATATGGTGATGGTGTTATGTTGCAGAATCTAAAAATTTAATGTCTAATAATTCATTTTGTTGGGGACATGAAGCCTGTATTTATATGTATGTGTATGTGTGTATGAGTTAGGCAACCCCACAACAGTTGCCTAACTCTCAGGTACTTAGTTAATGTGAACAGAGGCATTAGATGAAAGGAATGTGGGCAACCACTTCTGTCCCACCTGGGAATTGAACCCCAGGATTGATAGTCGAGAACAAAGCCAACTATGTATGTAGTAAAACAAATCAACATCTCCTAATACTAGTGCTAAATTGACTGTTGTACTAATTTTGGCTTAAACTATGAATGACAGTACATACACCTTATTAACAATATACAAGAACGTAAATATTTCAAGGGATTATCATCATTACACTTTCTCATGTTCATGCGGAAGAAGGCGTCTGCCTTAAGATAGGGAAGCAGTATAGAAACTTCAGGCACTGAATGAATATGTAAAACTACTTTCCGAGCAAGGCAGTACAATGCTGCAAAAGGCAAAAATCCCTGAATGCCCCATTGAACGGGATAACATAAGCATAAAGGAAACTGTAGAAGGCCTATTGGCTCATACAAGGCAGCTCCTATTGGCTCATACAAGGCAGCTCCTATTGGCTCATACAAGGCAGCTCCTATTGGCTCATACAAGGCAGCTCCTATTGGCTCATACAAGGCAGCTCCTATTGGCTCATACAAGGCAGCTCCTATTGGCTCATACAAGGCAGTTCCTATTGGCCCATTTAAGGCAGCTCCTATTGGCTCATACAAGGCAGTTCCTATTGGCTCATACAAGGCAGCTCCTATTGGCTCATACAAGGCAGCTCCTATTGGCTCATACAAGGCAGTTCCTATTGGCCCATTTAAGGCAGCTTCTATTGGCTCATCATTCTGCCACCAGATGACATCATTTTCATCAACTCCAGGTGATGAGGATGATGCCCTTAAGCCCTATCACAATGGAATTGAGGCCAATAATATCACCTTGGTTCACCGTGGATAAGTCTCTCTTAACTGCTTTTGGAATGGATATTTATTCTCTCTCTTTCCTAAAGCTGTACAGGGATGTACTATGCCCTCAGTTCTGTTGCTACGGTGCAGCATTATGTGCGTGTTACTCAAACTTCCTCAGTTGTCACAATTTTTGTTAATCCCATTTCTATTGTGCCTTGCATCAAGGCACAATAAAAAGATTCTTAGGGGCCTGACAGCCGAGTGGACAGTGCTTCAGATTCGTAGTCCTGACGTTCTGGGTTCAAATCCCGGTGGAGGCGGAAACAAATGGACAGAGTTTCTGTCACCCTGATGCACCCGTTACCTACCAGTAACTAGGCACCTGGGAGTTAGACAGCTGCTACTTGCTGCTTCCTGGGGGTGTAAAACAAAAAGGAGGCCTGGTCGATGACCGGGCCGCAGGGACGCTAAGCCCCGAAACCATCCCAAGATAACCTCAAAGAAAGCCACATTGTCTCAGGCTCCATGTCAGGTGGGTAGATTCAGCTAGTGTGATGTGTATCCACAGATACAAGAGCACAAGAGTGCTTCAGTTACTGCCTTCATTGCAAATACAGTACTGTACTGTATGTTTACTGCTAATATTCCAGCCCGTCTTCCTAAGGTTTCACAATGTCAAGAAATTGTTGTACCAAGGTGCCCTTATCCTAACCTACCAGAGGACCCAAAATAGGAAACGGGACAGTATGTCAACTTCGCGAGCTGATATCATTTTCTGATATGACAATTTTTGGCCTTAGGTAGAGTATGCGTCAAAATGCGACGTTCTATTAGGAGAACGGGTTGAATATTCAGGCAAAAGGTTTTTGTCATTTGCTTTGCCCATACTGTACTTTGAGTGGCTTTACTTTGTTATGAGGTTAAACTTGAATCCTTATGATTCTCTCAACTTTATGAGCACACCAATGTGGTCCTGGTGTTCAGTAGGCCTTGCAAGTCCAGAGGCCTAGTCAGACCAGGCCACAGGGATGCCGATTCTTGGGTTCAACACACTGTAACTGAAGCCATTCATAAAAAAGGTTATGTCAAGATGGATGGTTATGTCATCCATTATGTGCAATGCTTGACCTTTCTGTGTGCTGTAAGAACTTTGGGGTTTATATCATATGGGGTTCCCCCCCATATGATCCGAGTTAGTGAGCGATGACTGTACTGCTGTACTGTATAATTTTTTTTTTTTAAGGGTGAAAATATTAATCTTCTTGATATAGTCTTTGAAAACTCTTCTCATGCAAGTAATTGGTATCAAATGGGTCTTACATCATACCTACTAAAACCTGCATTAAGCTCAACTGACAATGAACTACAGTAGTCAAGAGCAAAACAAATTTAGCCAAAGATTTAACAGTCATCTAACTTTTTTTTCTTAGAAATATCCCAAGCAACCTTCAAGCCAAAGCAAAATTAAAATATTCGACTTACAGTCTCTTGTAACATATTTATGATTGCAGCAAATTTTGAGCGTATTGATGTCTGGCAGTTTGTTAGGAGGCGATCGTACTCTGGCTGCATGTTTGTAACGTGACGTAACATAGCCAAAACGGAGAGCACAGCCTGATGATCTCCTCTACCGACACTCCTGCGTGCTTGACCAGCCAAACTCTATCACATTTAAAATAAGATATTTTGGTTATAAAGAGCATAATATTAGTAATAAATGCACCAAAACTATATATATACATAATAATTTCTTTATAACAAAATATAAAAAAATATATATATACTGTACTGTATTTATATATATACCTCTCCCTCAGCAACCAATTGATCCATCGGGTCTCGGAGAATTAGCTCAAATGTCCGAGTGACCCTATCTTCCGGTACCAGTTGTTGAGCCAAGAGGAGTTCCGCAAAGGCTAACCGATGAAGAGCAGTAACCTGTCAATATGTAAATATTTTCAACTGTATTTCTGATACTAGCAAAACCCGATGGCTCTTACCAGCATTTAATGTAATGAATTGTCATTTCTGGTAGGTCTCCTCAAATGTTTTCTGTTGGTAGCTTCAGCGAACCACCAAGGCAAGCCCTCCATGAAAACTGTATAGTTGCCAGTTACAGATAATAAATGACTGCCGAGAAGTTTGACCAAAAATCAGTCAAATTCATTACAGGTCACTTTACTAATGTTTTCTTGCAAAGAATGAATCTAGGAAGTGTAATACAGACCCAGTGGGCTCATTATCCAAGAGTTATGTTAATTCAATGATGAATCAATGTTGATAACGTTGATTCAGTGTTGAGTTAATGGTACTCTATGATATTGTGCCCACTGGGGATGAGGTGATAAAATGCTTACTAAACAGGAGCAACTCCTTAGAATATCTCATAATGAGGGCTGTGCTGCAGAATGTGTTCCCCAGTACACAAAATGGTATAGTATGATGAGATACAGTGCAAACTTAACATCAATACATACAACATTCAGACAAGAGTTTGCAAGAATGCTCTTTGAAAAATATGTTATATAACACAATCATGGCATTAAATAGATAATCCAACTCTCACACATGAAATGAAATGAAAGTGTTGACCAAACCACACACTAGAAAGTGAAGGGACGACGACGTTTCGTCAACTTGAGAATGGTCCAGGACGGACCGAAACGTCGTCGTCCTTTCACTGTCTAGTGTGTGGTTTGGTCAACATACTTCAGCTATGTTATTGTGACTCCTCGTCTGCGAAATGAAAGTGATGATGTTTTGGTTCTTGGATATGGGGTCCTTGGCCCTTATCAAGGGTCTAGGGATGGGCCCTTGATTTGGGTCCAGTATGGGTCTGTAAGGGTCTGGGATGGACCAAAACACTGTAACTTTCATTTCATTTCTTATGTGTCGGTGGTGTTATTGTCATGTTATTGTGACATTCTCTACTAACATGGAATTATTTTCTTAGACATCCTTCAGTTTTTGATCAAAAACCTTAATTAAACAATTAATCTATTCATTATAAACACATACACATATTTACCTGGTTTAAATAAAGTTCAACGTCACTATCTTCGAGGACTTCTTCACCCACTATTCCGGGAGTTGTCACTGTATAGGAAAATGTAGCAGCTATCAAATAGTGAAATACAGTATACAAGCAATCAATTTTAAAATTATGGTGTTGTAGATGTATTGTGTGTTATAGTGTTGTGGATATACTGCTAATATTATAGTGCTGTAGGTGTGTTATCAATGGTATAATGCTGTTGAGTGATGATGTGGGACATAGTGGGGAAGATATCTTGATTTATTTCTCCATTAGACCTTTAATTTCTTGTGAGGTAATGCCTTAGTGCTCCATCAAAGTGGGAACTGAGGATGGGGATGCCTGAGAGCTGGAGAGCCATCTCCACAAACACAAGTAAACAAAAACACACACACACACACACACACACACACACACACACACACACACACACACACACACACACACACACACACACACACACACACACACACAAACACACACAAACACACAAACTGGAGATGCAGGCAGGAGTGAAAGGGAAGGTACTCCACTGGATAAGGGAGTACCTAAGCAACAGGACACAGCGAGTAACCATGAGGGGTGAGGCCTCAGAGTGGCGGGGCGTCACCAGTGGAGTCCCACAGGGATCAGTCCTTGGACCTATACCTGGAGCGAGGAGCCAGACATGGAACAGAGTGGTCATCCAAAAAGAGAGACAAGGAATCCAGGGGTTCAGACGGGACAAGTCTAGTATGAAATGCAGATCTGCACAGTCCCGTTTCGGCACTGGAAACAGGTGGGATACCCACCTGAGGAATGGGGTCGTTTCGACCATGCCCAAGCGCACCCAGTCCAAGATGACCCAATGGAGTACAGGGAAGGAAGGCTGCCCCACCAGTCCCGAACCTCCCACCCAACACCACTACAGGCCGGAGGATACGACCTGAAATGCCCACGAATCGTGGGACTAGGGGTGAGTAAACAGCGCAAGCCTCTCCCCCATTGCCCCATCAATGGAGCGACCCGCGAAAGGGCCAACGCCCCTTGCAAGATGCCGGCTGACGAGCAGAGCGAGCATTGTGCCGACCAGACGATGCCAGCTCAGAAACTGGCACCAATGGCCCATCCCGACTGGAAGAACCATGAGCCCTGACAAGACTCTTCCGAGAAGCCCGAGAGCGGCCCCCACAGAAAACCAACACGTCTGACATAGGACGACAGTTAGATGAGGCCACCTGCAGAAACTGCGTGACAGTAGCTTCTGCAAACAGCAACGGACAAAAAGGCGACGAAAACTTAAGAGCCAGGGCCCAAGCGGATTCCAAAGAGAGCGAGCACGGCCTAACAGCACGCAAGGCGAGAAGCAAAGAACAGAGACACAGCCTCCCCAAGAATCGGTGCAAACAGCTTAAACAACGCAGCGAATGCCCTATCCACCGAGGCAAGCAAACCAGACGAAGGCCCGGCACTCAATGCCTCCACATCCTCCTCAAGCCATAGGAGTTGAAACATAGATTCCGCTATGAATAAAATACAAACTGAAATGCTCATCACACATGATGTGAACATTATGGCATGGTTTGTAGATGCAGCTCTATTTGTAAATTAATTTCACTAATTCACATAGATATTAAACCACTAAGATTATAAATTATTTACTTAAGTGATAATCTTCTACCATGTCTACCACTTTTAAAGCTCATGATTTGATGCAAAGACATTTGCATATCTGTGTACATAAAGAGGTTTGCAAAGATCTTCAATACCACTAATACAGAGAAGCTATCTAATTTTTATGCAAGCAAACTGTAATATTCCCAACAAAGGGTTCATGCATAAAGCTACCACCATGGTGATCCTAGACCCTATGACATGCTACATTAGAGAGGGTAAAGGTAATTATCACGAGAAGGAATTAAGCCATCACGGCTATGTATATAACACTTGGAAGGGATACAAGGATGAGGAGTCGGGATAGGTCAAAGAGAAGGAATGGTGCCCAACCACTTGGACAACCAGGAATTGAATGCTGACCTGCAAGAAGCAAAGCCATCATTCTAGCATCCACTTCACTATCTCAATCCTCCATAGAGTGAAACAATAATGATAAACCAATGACTCTCATACAAACATACCAATGCCCACCTCTATACATATATCATATACGACATGGTTAACCACCCCAGCATTAATGTTTTTTTTTTTAATCTAAGCCTATTGCTGGCCTCTACTTTTGGTTCCCTGCACAATTGCTGCTTCCAAACCAAGTACAGATTAATGAACAAAGCAGAATAAAAAACAGAGTCTTAAGGACACCAATGATAAAGACGTAGGCAAAATTCTAAAAGAACAATATGAATCCCTGTTTAGCTATGTGTTGGATACCATGAATGTATTGTTCTGTCAAAGATCCCAAAAGCCATTTTTTTTTTTTTATCAACCCGACCCACACAAAGTCATACGTCACACATGAGAATAAACCACACACCTTTCTAAAATGAAATAAACAACATACTCATGTACTCAGCTCTCAGGCCAGATCACTGGATTTCAATTATTTATAAAGAAGTGCAAAATACCATTAGCACAGGAACTTGGCATAATATGGATAAAGAGACTGGAAATAGGTGACACCTCACAAATTAAAAACTGTGGACATTGCTCTGCAGACGAGGAGTCACAATAACATGGCTGAAGATATGATGGTCAAACCACATATCAGAAGATGGAGAAACGACGACGTTTCGGTCCGTCCCGGACCACTATCAAGTCGTGTGTGATATGACATTGCTCTGTTTCACAAGATATAAAAACATAGACCAGTGACAATAACATCAACAAAGAATGTCACAATAACAAGAATGCGACAAATAACTGAATCCAAACATATGAAAAGAATGATGTTATGATGTTTCAGTCCATCCTGCATCCTTAACAAGTTGTGACCATACATATCATTAAGGTTTTTGAGTGTGTTCTAAGAACCCAACTTCCCAGTTTTATGGAAGAGAACAAGCTATACAATGCAGGTCAACATGGCATTAAAGCAGAAAGATCTCGTCTTTCACAATTGCTTTATTGTACAAGGGGAATTTTTGTTTACAGATAACAGTGACTAAGTGATACATTACTACAAAGTCACTAATACACACAGTGCTTCAGACACATCAAGAAATACACAAACCCCCAAAAAATTAAAAGAAAAATACAGTACTGTATTGTATAGCTATCTAAAAGCGAAGCACGAAGAAAACTTTACTTGTGGGAGCTTTTGAGCACATTACTGCTCAAGAAAATTTGGGATGGTTATTGTCCAAACTACTAGCCAATGAATCAGCCATGCATTAACTCTCTAATCTGTGCAGCTGCTTAAAAGTACCGCATTAAGGCGTGCATGACTAAAAATAGCTAACAAATGAGAGAAAACTGTATATTGCAATTTGAGCACAGGAGGAAATGCCTGTTTGCAACAGCAGCACAGGAGAATATTGCAAATGTAGCACAGGAGAAAATTGCATATTGCAAATGTAGCACAGGAGAAAATTGCATATTGCAAATGTAGCACAGGAGAAAATTGCATATTGCAAATGTAGCACAGGAGAAAGTGGCATATTGCAAATGTAGCACAGGAGAAAATTGCATATTGCAAATGTAGCACAGGAGAAAATTGCATATTGCAAATGTAGCACAGGAGAAAACTGCATATTGCAAATGTAGCACAGGAGAAAATTGCATATTGCACAGGGGAAAGTGGCATATTACAAATGCAGCACAGGATAAAATGGCATATTACAATTGGAGCAGTGAAACGGTTAAGCAAAGAGCATTTTGATTTGTTAATGCTAGGAACTAAACCTTTTATATGCAGGTATATCTACTTATTAATTACAAACATAGAAACCAGTACCATCTCAAATAAGAGTAAAATGATCCTACAGTAAAAATAAGCATCACTCAGATGTCCATCCCACTTCATTCACAAACCAACTGCAATATACCAGTAAACCCAGGCAATACATAGCAAATGAGGAGTCTACTGCACTCTACCATGCGGAGGGGTGAGGGTGCCATGCAGGGAGTACGAAGTATTTCCAGGAGAACCTTGTCTGCGTGATGACACGTGTCCCGTGATGGCCTTCTGGAGCATCCGGTTTGCTCTGAAAAAGTTAATGTGAATTATATAATCAATTTGTTTTACTTTTTGTGGATAAGACGAAGGGCCAATGAAACCCACCAAAAACTCTCAAATGTAACTTATAGATTCAACAGTTTACAATAATAGCAGTGAAGGCTCCCTCTAACCGACTGATTCAGATCGGATCTCGTCTGTTGCATCAAGTTCTCTATTACATGGGGACGATTTGTTTTCTTGCTAATACGTACTAATACTGTGCTATATTTAGCAGATAATAAAAATATTAACTTTATTGTAATAGCATAAATTCTAAAAAATACTGGATATTTATGCAAACTTTGATACCAAAAATCAAATGGAGAAAATAAAGCTTTGAATGTACAGGTACTGTAGATGAAAATCTCCTTTCTAAGCAAGTCAACTAATCCAAGGATGCAGTGACCTCAACAAAGGTCAACAAGACGACAACAGCCTCGACACAATGTGGTTCTTCTGGGTCTTTATAGGAGGAAGGAGACACTGGAGATTATTCAAACCAGCCCTGAATAGCCAACCAATCAATCAATTGTACATATAAAGTGCGAGCAGGAAGTGGGACAGACAGAAGTATAGTTTGGAGAGGAAGTGTCATAGTTGTAGAGAGTAGAGCCAGGGCTTAACCCAACAACTGGGCCAGGATTTTAGGAAAGGTGTGCTGCAGCAGAATCCTTCAAACCGCACAAAGCACCAAGGAGGGCCAAGAGAGAGCCAAGCAGCTATCAGAAGTTCTTATTAATATTACACTACTGCATTACTGTTTTGGGGCTTCAGGGTGCTATTTTTTCTTGTTCTTCGGTTTCTTGTTTTGACTTCATGTCTGTATATGGGTGTCCATAGGCAATGGTGCAGGATAATGTAGGAATTGGTCTGGTGGGATCTGTTCATCAACAATATCCCGCGGTACGTTGATGATGATTGCCTGGCCATTTTTGAAGGTTAGGCATGAAGGCATTGACATGTGGTTAGGTCCAAAATACTTGGTGCATCATGACCCGGAAACATGGGCAGTTGTAGTCTCTGTGGTGTTTCTGCTCGTGGTGTGAATTGAGGATGCTTCCTCAGAGGCATTCTCAACCTCGTCGGAGAGAGGCTCAATGTCCATAGGTTCGTCTGAAGATGCGTAGTATTTTTCTTCCTGTGTCGCCAGTATTCCTGTGTTTTCTGTGGAGTGAACCACTGACAGTGTCATCAGGGTGTCCTCAGTTGTCATCATCTATTGAGCATCTTTTTGTCTTTTTGGGTGCCTGCATTTCCATGTTCTATCACTGGTAACAGGACAGGCACAATGCCATTTGCTTTCAGAAGCCCGTTCACTGTTCTGAGGAACATGTTTCAGTCGATTAAGGCAGTGTCTGGGATGCTCCCGGACGCAGGTTCGAATCCTCGTCACGGCCCTTGTGGATTTGTTTTATCTTGTTTTGCAACTCTGTCTGCACATGCAATGATGACCTAGATGTGGATGTTCTGGATGACTGTTGGCATCCCTGGTTTTGGTGGGTCCTGCTGCTGAGGCTTGTGTGGTCATCCAGATCATGTGGACATTGTTTGCAGTTGGCTTGTTGTAGGGAGGTTCAGAAACTGGTCAGGTCCTAGAACCATGGTCGCAGCAACTTGCCTTTGGGTGGTCGGTGGCGTGGTGGCCTTCTCCTTAAGCTTCTTGAGTTCCACCTTCCTTTTTGTGCAGATAGGTGGCAGCAGCATACTGTTCTCCATAGTTCATGCATTTCTTGGTGGTAGTGGTGCAGTCCTTGTAGTTATGAGTGCTAGAGCACGAGATGCACATAACCATTTGTTCTTGGCACTTGTTTGATAAGTACTCATAGTTGAAGCACTTGAAGCACTGTCTCACATTGTAGATCTTCTCCATGGCAATCTGGTTCGGTGAGGAGGTTATTCCAAAGCATTTTAATCCATTCTTTGCTGCTTCTTGGACCTGTTCAGCCGTCTGGGTCATCATCATATGTCGAGTGTTGTCGGTGGTCTTCATAAGTAGAGCTGTCATCACTTTCAGGGTAAGATGTTCGGAGTTGACTTGTCACACAATGTTGTCAGGGGGGTCCTCACTCGTAATCCAGCAGTTCAGCCTGTTGACGAAAATCATTCTCTCAGTCGTGATTTGTCTGGGAGGAATTGGTGAGAGGTTTGCCTCTAGTAGTGGGACCCGGTGTTTCACATCCAGGATCTTCTGAAGGTCTACTTTCATCGCCACAATCACAATGGCCTCGTTTCCATGTACAGGTACATGGAATTCAACAGGTCCAAATGTTCTTGCCCTGTCAATGGAAGCTGCGATTTTGAGGGCAGTCTGCTTGAAGACTCCGAGGAATCACATTTTCAGTCTCGTCTTGTAAATCATTGTGTTCTCTGGTAACGCCACAAAGGCTCGGATTGTCAGGAGAACCTAGAGTGTAGTATGGTTTGCCGGCAGCTGTGTATGACACTCAGCTTGCCAGTGGGAGAGGTGAGGGTTACGTCCGACTGAGGTGGCTGCTCGCAACAGCCATCAGAAGGTATATTCCTCTATAACCAAAACACAATTCTAACATCAGGAAAGTTGAATTATAATGTTATAATGATGAAATATAATTATAAAACAGTTATAACAAGGCCAGTAGAAAGGTAATAATGAGCTAGACCTTGTGCCCTCATAGTCACTGATAAGCAAGTACTTCCTCCAAACAATACTTTGATCCAAGAAGACCAAAAAGTGCTGCACTGCTACTACTATCTGCAGACCACTTGTTGACAGCCTCGTCACTCCACCCTAACCCACATACGAGATGACAGCACTGGCTGTGTAAACATAAGGCACCTGGTGCATCCACCTCACTCTCATCCTAACACACATATGGAAAGGCGCTAAGTGTATCGAGACAAACAGGAGGGCACGGGAGTGAGCAATTGCTTGCAGATGAAGTTGTTTGTCATCTTCACTAAAAGCCTTATTCCTGAACTAATACCCCTTGGTGACTTCCTTAGGCAAGAATCACCATGGTTAAAATTAAGAAAAACTAATAAAATATACGAGGAACTTACCTGTGCTGTGGATGATGAAATATCAAAGACTTTGCTAAATTCAAGGTATATAATTTTGCTATTTTTTCCACTATTACCTGCTTCAAAACAGCCAGAAAAGAGAGTATATATGTTAAACATGAGTAGCTGTGAAAGAGCCAGAGGGAAAGAGAAGACCCAATGCCCCGGAGCACCAAACATCCTGGGCCACAAAACTCTCCAACTTTACCAGCATGGGCAACATCACCTGGATTTGAGCAAACAAATCAATCCTCTGCTAATGATTCCAGTTGAGATGAAGTGCATCCAACACAGAGCCATCCCGATCGAGAAATAGTGCTATATATACACAGGTAGCTTGTGATTCCACCTGGATGCAAAGGAAGCGGTTCAAAACTTTCAGCCAATCCTGACCCGTAGGGTTGGGATTGGCTTCAGAGAATGAGCAAATATCTCAATTCTCTATACAGTATCTTAAAGTAAAAGCAGGTGAGACCTGAAATATCAACCTTCATTATTATAAAAGCTTCACAAGTTTTACTGCTGGCCACAGCATTGCTCAACAATTACCCATCTGAGATTTGGAATTACTGTACAGTATACAAAATTATTTAGGATTCTGAAGAGGGCATGACAAAACCCACAACATATGCAACTGAGGAGGTACCGTATACAACTTTTGTAAGATCTGATCATTAATACGTAGCTCATGCTTGGCGCTCGCACTTCTTGAATCATAAATAGAAACTTAAGAAATATGCCCCTAGAATGGAACCAAAAATGAGTTATGAAGTCAGATTGAAAGAACTAAATTTAAAACAAAATAAAATTTTAAACCAGAGGAGATATGATCTTCATTCTGTATAAATAATACACTATACAGTACAGATAGCATTTTTTAGAATGAGGTAACAATAGAATGTGAGTAAACAAGTGGAAACTTGCAGACACAAACGAGTCAGGGATATACAGAAATACAGTACAATAAAGTATTCAGTGAGAATAGCATGTGATAAAAGGCATTAGAAGCATACACCACCTACCATGCATGCATGCCTACATGCACGTGCACACCCCCCCCCCCACATGCACATGCACTCACCCCCACATGCACATGCATGCACCCCCACATGCACATGCACGCACCCCCACATGCACATGCACGCACCCCAACATGCTCACGCACATGTTCATAAAACGTTCAGAGGTATACCACTAGACTGGTCCCAGAACTAAGAGGCATGAGCTACGAGGAAAGGCTGCGTGAACTACACCTCACGTCGCTGGAAGACAGGAGCGCTCAGGAAGACATGACCACCATATACAAAATTCTCAGGGGGAATTGACAGGGTAGACAAGGATGGGTTATTTAACACGGGTGGTACACCCACAAGGGGACACAGGTGGAAGCTGAGTACCCAAATGAGCCAGAGACATTAGAAAGAACTTTTTCAGGGTCAGAGTAGTTAGTAAATGGAATGCACTAGGAAGTGATGTGGTGGAGGCTGACTCTATACACAGTTTCAAATGTAGATATGAGAGGGATCGAGACGTTCAGGAATCTGTACACCAGAAGATTGACAGTTGAGAGGCGGGACCAAAGAGCCAAAGTTCAACCCCCTGCAAGCACAACTAGGTGAGTATAACTAGGTGATTATAACTAGGTGAGTACACATACACACGCGCGCGCACTTCATTTTTGCTAACAGAGTGGTAGATGGTTGGGACAAGTTAAATGAGTAGGTGGTGGAGGCCAAAACCATCAGTAGAGTAATTTCAAAGCATTATATGCTTTGAAACTAATGGCAAAGAATGACAGAGTGCAGTCAAGATGGGACACCACGTGCGTAGCTCTCATCCTGTAACTACACTTACGTAATTACACTTAAGTAATTACCAACACAATTAGTGCAAATGACAATAATTTTTGTGCAAATTTGTGAAAACTTATTGTCATTTTTTTTACGTTTCTCGGCACAAGCTTCCAGGAGCGACTCTGCTCGCCTGAACATGACCCCACTTGGCTGGAATGTGTTCTACTGTTCCGGAGATCCGAACAAAAACAAAACACTTCCGCTGAACCAGGGTTCCGTAACACTGGGGCCCCATTGAACTGGAAGTAGATAAATCATTTGGTATATGATTTACCTCCTGGATAAACCTATTCTCACTAGTTCCTCTCGCTTCCCTAATTTTTTGTTGTATTTCTTGTTTAAAAAGTAATGTTCCTTGGATGGGCTTTACTACTCCTATATTATTGACATACTCATACAATAATATACTCCTATATTGTTACGTTGCAGCAACCTACACCCAGCATGCAACACGGATGCCGCCTGTACCCAAATATCAATGTCATAAGAATGGGTAAATTGGAGAACAAGCAAAGAGCACATCTCGCAAGACTTCGGGTCAAAGGTGTTGGTGACCCGTCCGGCAGCATAACGAAAGTAAAAGCGGTGACAGAGACAAGGGCACACAGCAACCTTTAAACTCGCACAAGGCGAAATGGTACTCGGAAGATGCATCCATAGGTCCACTGAGCCCCGACGGGCTTTTCCAGGGCCCATAGGCTGACTGCTATGGGGAGCCCAGGCAAGGTGTTGCTAACCGGTTAAACCCAAAGCTAACAACGAGGAGATCAAAACACTGAAAACCCTGCAACATGTACAATCACGGGGGGCCTAGTAGAGGGCCACCAATATATTATAAATGATCCTATAGCCACACCAAATAGACACCCAACAGGCAAACAGAACAAAAATCAAAAGAAAAACCCTGCAAAAGTACAATGTCCCCAGAGGAAACAGGAACCAGCCACTGCATCGGTAAGCTGGATGCGCAACACCTTGACGCATTATCTACCTAAAACTAACCAGCAACAATACCACTCCCTACCCAAGGCCAAACAAGAGCCATGAAACCCCAGCTGGCCCCAAGGGCGGGGTAAATGCCGAGCCGCTAAAACCCTTACAAAAATGGCGTCCCGAAAGCACCAGGGAAGAGAACCCTGACACCCAGGGGTAGTACTTACACGACACCTAGGAAAAGCTGCCCTAAGCGCATGCGGCCCCGGTACATTTAAGTACTGTACACCTGGCCACTACACCACGAACAGCAGAGGACACCACTAAGGCAAAACACTGCTAAAAAACAGAGGCCAGAGTTGACAACCATCCTCGACCACATTAGCCAACGAACTGCAGTTGCTGGGTAGCCTGCGCAGGGCTCCTGGGGAGGGGAGGGCTGCGCGGACAAGTGACACGATAGTGAGGTGTGATGTTTGCTTGTTTCCTTGGGATTTGAGGGAGTTCTTTTCAGTTTTCGGTTGAAATTTTCTTACCATGTGGGGTCTGTTTAGTTATGCCTACCTTTCTGGGAGCCTAGTTGATGGCAGAAAAGGAAAACCCCCAACCACAGGGGGGAAGTTTTCCAGGGGCCATTGCTCCCTGTGCCTCTCTGAGGGGGCCGGGTTCTGGCTCATGGTCCCTGGTATATACCTGCTTGATAGGGTTCTGGGAGTTCTTCTACTCCTCAAGCCTGGCCTCGAGAGCTTGGTCCACCAGGCTGTGGCTTGGAGCAGCCCGCAAGCCCACATACCCACCACAGCCTGGTTGGTCTGGCACTTCTTTTAGAAAACAATTTAGTTTTCTCTTGAAAATTTCCACGGTTGTTCTGGCAATATTTGTTATGCTCGCTGGGAGGATGTTGAACAACTGTGGACCTCTAATGTTTATACAGTGTTCTCCGATTGTGCCCATGGCACCCCTGCTCTTCACAGGTTCTATTCCGCATTTTCTTCCACATCGTTCACTCCAGTATGTTGTATGTTACTGTGTAGATTTGGTACCTGGTCTTCCAGTATTTTCCATGTGTATATTATTTGATATCTCTATTGTCTCCTTTCTAGTGAGTACATTTGGAGAGCTTTGAGACGATCCCAATAATTTAGGTGCTTTGTCGCATCTATGTATGCCATATATGTTTTGTACTCCCTCTATTTCAGCAATCTCTCCTGCACTGAAGAGGGAGGGGGGGGTGGAAGTGAGTACTGAACAGCACTCAAGGCAGGACAGCACAAGTGACTTGAAGAGTACAACCATTGTGATGGGATCCCTGGATTTGAAAGTTCTCGTAATCCATCTCATCATTTTTCTGGCTGACGTAGTATTTGCTTGGTTATGCTCCCCAAACATTAGGTCGTCAGACATCATTATTCCCAAATCCTTAACTTGTTGCTTTCCTACTGTGGGCAGATTTGATTTTGTTTTGTACCCTGTATCATGTTTAAGGTTCCCATTTTTACTGTACCTGAGTATCTGGAATTAATCACTGAACTCCATTGACTCATGCCCTGGTCTAATGTATCGCATATTAGCCCGATAGCTCCAGGGAGCCAGAGGGGCTCCCCATAGAAAATTATGTAAAAAACTAGCATTGAATGTAATGAAACGCCATTTTCTGGGTGAGACCCAGAGGCTTCCTAGAGCTATCCGAGCTGATATGGATATCATTAGACTTTGGCATCAGTGTGAATGGAGTTCTAGGCCTACCAGGGACCACGAGCCAAAACCTGGCCCCCTCAGAGAGGCATGAGGAGCAATGTCCTATAGAAATGCACATGGGATGTGAAGCATTCTATCTGCCATCGACCAGGCTAGGCACCCAGAAAGGTAAGAGCCTCAAAACAAACCCCCATTCTGGTTAAAACGACGAAAATAGACTAATGAGTGGACAGAACTCCTCAACTGAAAACGAGCAAATGAGCATGATGTCACATGTGCTGCGCAGCTTCCCCCTCCTCAGGAGGGAAAAGGGGGAGCCCCAGACCCACCGCGCCGGCTATTCACCTGTCAGTTCTTGGCTGATATGATTGTGGCTCGGTCGTGTGGCTCCAGCTCCATATTTTTTCTTGTTGTACTGTACCTTGAGTCCAGTACTGCTCTTATGTTGGCGTACGAGCTGGGAGTGATATTCACAGGTACTCGGGCTGCATGTGCTTAGGGTTCCCTTCCCTGAGTGCCCTGTAAATACCGTCCTTGGGGCTTGGGGTTATCTTCCACAAGTCGCCTTGGGGTTTACCTCTGTTGGCGTTTGATGCTCGGTGATTGACCGCCCTGGGTATTGACCTAGTAATTGACCCGCCAATCAATTAACAAGGAGGTACTCATTTATTGCTGGATGAGCGAAGGTGAACAGTTAAGGATTGGTACCCACTCAATCCTCCCTGGCCAGAACTTAAAACCAGGCCAAATTGCTCTGTGCATGTGAAGAAGAATTTGTATGTGTGTTTTTGGCACCTTTGTTTTCTTAGCTTCAGTCTGCAGCCTTTTGTTCTCAGTGTCGTGGATTCCAAAAATTCCTACTTACCAATTTGTAGATTTCTGTTAACTAGTTAATGGTATACTTTATGCTTCCAGCCTTTCATCATAGCTCTTGCATTTTTACATCCAGGCACCATTTAATAGTATGTCTTCATAACCTTTCCTAATTTACAGGACTGGAGGTACAGTACAGGCACCATACATCTGCTGAATATTCTAGTTTGATGGCTGTGTTTGTCCTGCTTTTACTTATTCTGCACACCATTATATGGAATTTATTTGCTACTTATTGCTAAATTCACTTTTGTCTAGGAAATTTTGCCTAAGTAATTTTTGTAATATTTTTCCCAGTAACTTGTCATCATCCACAACCATGTTCATATAACACACTATCCCTTGAAGAAGATTATTTATATACAATGTACATTACTGCTAGTATCAAGTTTTGCGGTTTAATTAACTGCCTCTTATCACTGTTCTCGTATTTGCATTTATTAGGAAATTTTTTGTCCATGCTAGCAGTTTGCGTGTCACAACTTCCCCTGCATGCTCTAGCTTCAAAGAAGTGTTCATCTCCTAACATAACAATGCAGCAGCACTGGCTGCTCTCTCAAGAAGACAAATCTGCATCAAACTTACAAACATCTCAAAAAGCCCCTGGATCACACAATGTAGCTTCCCAAGCCTGGAAGAGGGAGAAGCAGAACACTGTAGCCAAAGTTTGGTTACTCCAAATAAATCCCATGGGACTAAGGTGAAGCAACACACCCAGCCTCCGTGTTCCCACCAATCAATGCCTGCATGAGACTGGTTGCACAGCAACTGGGAACTTTCCCGGTGGCTGTGCAAAGCAAAGCACAATACAGCTTTCTGATCTCAAACATTTAACTCTCGGTTCAAAGCAACAACCTTGACTATATCTTCAAAGAGAGACACTCGTGGAACATTCTCAAAAGAAGGGAATTACAACTTTTAGCAGTGATAAGTATCAGGTTCAGTCTGCAGCATGGCTGCTGCTGTATGCACAGCATGCAAAGAAGGCAGCTCTGACATACACCTCACCCCATACACCATACTTCTCATAAGGATGACAATACAATTCGGTTCCTATTTATACCCAACAACACTTACTTTTATAGTTCACTTTGTTCTTTCCCGTTGTCAGAGACAGGAATCCTGCTAGCTTATCAAGCTCCTAGGCCAACTGCTGACCTTCCCCAGGATGCAGCCCCACAACAGCTGCCTAACTCCCGGCTACCTATTTACTGCTAGGTGAACAGAGGCATCAGGTGAAAGTAAACTTGCCCAACCATTTCTGCCCTGCCTAGGGATTGAATCCGGGTCCCTCTAATGTGAGCCAAAGATATATATCACTGTTCTACAGCACCCTCAAAATATTCCATAAAAAATTATTGTACAGTACTGTATTCCAAAGACAGCTCATTCTGTATAATAATACTAATACTGTATGTACAAATTATTTAAACCAATACTGTACCTCTGACTGACTTATACCTGTTAGATATCTTCTGTGTTCGGCTTTTGGAGGTGTTATCCATTTTTGCCATCCTAGCACGAAGGGGCCCTGGAGAATTTAACGAACTTGTAGCTCCAACTCGTTCAATACTGCTACTCCGTTGGAAATCTCGCAAAGCCTAAATGAGAATACAGTAATTTAAGATTTGGTTACAATACTCACTGAAATTAGGGAAAATTCTGGAATACTGCTATGGTTACTAGTAGTCTATTGCTGAGGACACAAAGACTGTTGGACTTATCAATATCACCTAGCCGAGGGGTAGAGTTGTCTGCAGTCACCCACCTATCCAGTTGTTGGCCAGACCAAACATGAGAACCCATCATGTATACCGCATTTGTCGATAGATGAGATGCACTTTTTTATCCACCATCAATTGTATATATATATATTGAATTTAAATGCACAAAATCATATATTTTCCCTGTAAAACTAAGTTAAAATCACTTTCAATAAATGTATGATGAAACACACTTGCTCCCCCTCCCACAAAATACACTTGTAAAATCAGCCTGTCCTCTCATATAACACATCGTATGTTGACATCCCCAATGTCAAAGTAAGGTCTACTAAAAACCAAAGTGGCTCACAAAGTGGCAAGTGGAAATGGGACATGATGTCCCATTTCCTATGTGTGGGTCTATGGTAATGTTAGGATCGTGTAATTTAGTATATCTTTTAAGTGACGTTGGCAACGCTTGTGAGGAAAGTCTGGTAAAACACGGAAATCTTGTATACCGGAAAATATAGAAATTACCTTTAACACCCTTAAAAGAAATTATGTTTTTATTATACAGTATATGAAATAAAGCTCTTCATTTACAGCAATTACATAATTTAAATTTATTAAGATCATACTACATAGTGTCTGCAAGCCTACCTTTAAACTCTGTGAAAGTGCATCAGAGCGCAGTTTTGCATAGACTGTGAGTCGGTCAGTGTTGTTGTGTTTGTCGAGCCATGTTGCAATAGCACGCAAATCTTCTCTCACGCCAGGAGGCACCAATTCTACTCCACTGATGGTATCTTCACTTACTTCTAGGTATATGTAATGATAAAAAAATATATATTAATATATTTTATTGGGGACAGGAAGTTTGTGCATATATACTTTAAGTCTGTATTCAAGTCCCCTAAGGTTAAACTACAGCACTAACTCTCCCTGGGATGCAACCCTACAACAGTTACTTAACTTCAGGGTACCTATTTACTACTAGGTGAACATAGGCATTAGATGAAAAGAAATATGCGCATCCATTTCTGTACCGTTTAGGAATCGAACCTGGGATCCTGGTTTCCGAGTCAAGAATTAAGACAACTGTACAACGAGCTCTAGAGATTTTATTTTACAACATCAATGTTATTCTAAATGTAGTGTGGTAAAAGAATAAATATTTAAATCATAATTTAATACACAAATTTAATTAATTTACAGAGTATAAAGTTTACACACACATATAGACAAGGTACCTGGGGAGCCCAGGGATGCAGGTTCAATCCCATTGTATGGCCTCAATATTTTCTCAGATACATGTCTGGGAGTCTGGTTCTATAAGAACGTGCCCTCGGGCAAACTGAAGTACCTGTACTACAGTACAAAAAACTATTACTAACTACATTGCCATGCATTATAATAGTAGTACAGCATGCAGAGCTTACTGTACCTTCCTCTTCAAGCAGTTCCAAAGTTGCCATTGGAAGTACTGGTTTCTGGTACTTTTTAAGTTCATCTCGAAACTCCTTACTAAGTTGATCCGTCCCAACTTCAAAAAGGGAAGTCTGAAACATGGAATGAGAATACGATAAATCAATTGGCTTATTACAAATATTCAATAACTATCCTTTAGAAATATTAATTCCCCATTGTTGGAGACAGGAAGCTTATACTTAGGCTCGTTAACCCCTGCACCGCAAACCTGTTTCTGGCAAAAATTTCATGATGTAGCTAAGGACATTTTTTTTTGTTTTTATAAATATTCAGCTAATGTTAATGGCAAATTGTTCCCAAACTCAACCATTTTCATTTCAAATCACAATGAGTGATGAAACATTAAAAAACATTAAAATACAGTAAGGCCTAATTAAAAAAAAATGCCCTGCCCTCGAAGTGCCTTAAGGCGCCCTGCGCAGTTAAGTGGTTAAGATCCGCCCTAGGCCTACTACTGGTGGCCTTTACCAGGATGTAATCCAAAACAGTTACCTAAATCCCAGATACTAATTAACTGCTAGGTGAACAGAGGCATCAGTTGAAAGTAAACATGTTCAACTACTTCTGAAAATGATTTTATGTCTTGTATCCGCTACATTATGGGTCAGCTTATTTAAAAAGAGGGTTATATGGCAATTTCAAAACTATTTTCATATCAAGATTCCAAGGGGCGTCTTTCAATTACATTGTAAAGGATGCCTTTAGCTTTACTGTGTGCTTTTTCAATGAACTATAAGGGATAACCTAAATCCAAGAAACTCTTATACAGCATTTAAGTTTGGCTTCTAGGCAAGATGGGTCACAAATCCTATGTGCTCTTAGATAAAGACCATTGAGTACACTTTGCTTAAATGAATTAGAATGATATGAGAAAAAATAAGAGAGATAGCATCCAGATGAACACCTCTATTAATAACTCCAGTTCTCAGATTACAATAGGAGGGTTACAGAAAGGACACATGACCATAATTCCGTAGAAGATATTAAGGTAAATACACATACATCGGCAGTTGGAAATAGAGGTGACATGGTCAGGAGAGCAAGAAGGAAAAGAGGATTGGACTCCAGGGTAGCAGCTTCATTAGACGTTGAGATGCAAGTCTCATCCTAATCACACACTCAGATCTTGACAAAGCACTCAGGCGAGTGTGAAAGACTGTGTAAATTCTTTACATAAATTTCACAAATACACATGTGTGGGTTTTTATCCTATACTGTATTATTATTATTTGTTTTGTAGCAAACATAATAATTCCTTTGCTCTCCATCTATTGCATTTAGACTACATTTGATTTCTAACTTTCTTAATCCATTCTTACCTCAGGACCAAACCAAAAATAAATATTTAACGGAAGCAACAGCATGGTAATAATGTGTGTAAACCAATTTTAATTTTTATAATTTCCATCCCCTCCCTATATTCAGTAATTAGAATCCCACTTCCTCTTAGATCACCAGTTTGGTAAAGTGCAGTTTTGCCCTTATTTCTGTCAACTTTACAAACAGTGAAATATTACAGAAAAAGTATTCTGTATTCTTGCCTGAAATGCTCTGCATAATAGTGACTCCATCAGTATGTGTAACTCCTCTCCCAACAATTGTAAATTACTCTTATGTTCTTTGGACACACATTCTATGGAATAACCATTATTATTATTATTATTATTATTATTATTCTTATTATTATCATCATTATTATATTATATTATATTGTTACAGCAACAGAAGAAAAATACATTACCACATTCTCAATTTCAACGCTCTGAGGGTTATTCTGCTCAAAATACTTGCAGGTCTCTGCTAAACGGTTCATAGCTTCTAAATACTGTGGGACTCCAATGCTACTTGGTCGTTCTTTGATTACTGCTTCCACTTGACCCGCGACATTGTAGAAACTAATAACATAGTCTAATTCCTGCAAAGTCTTCTCTGTATCTGTCATAAAACAAAGATAATATGTTAAGACTGATTATATTTAATAAAAATAATAATTGATAATCAAACATTTGGACTTTCTATAAACATTTATGAATTTCTTTTAGACCAATATAGGGCTATGTGTTGAGCTTTGTGGATCTACAATTAATAGAATTAAACCACCAGTCATTACACAATAATGCTGTCTTACTTAATTGTCTTCGTTGTAAGTTGCCGGTCTGTTGATACAGAGGAAGGATAGTCGTCTCTAGGCGGGCCAGTCGGTGTTCAAAGGAATCCAAGATGCTACCCACATTGGTTGCCACTTGACTTGATCGTGATAGGACTTCCCGAAGATTTCCCAACTGACTCATTTCCTGTATGAAGAATAAAGACCTAGTCAAATTGACAATGTCTGACAAATTAAATTTGGTGTAGCCATTAAAAAAATGATTTGTCCTAAGTATTTTAATACAAACATAACAAAGACTATAATATACAAGAAAAGAAAAACTGACATTGGTACATGCCAGTACTTCTAGAGATATGTAATCCTCATAAACCAACTAATTCCCAAATCTGGTGCTGGCAAAACCCATTTCGTCACTTTGTAGATAATTTAGGAGTCGCCTTATCTTGAAGTTATCTTGAGATGATTTCGGGACTTTAATGTCCCCGCGGCCCGGTCCTCGACCAGGCCTCCACCCCCAGGAAGCAGCCCGTGACAGCTGACTAACACCCAGGTACCTATTTTACTGCTAGGTAACAGGGGCATCAGGGTGAAAGAAACTCTGCCCATTGTTTCTCGCCGGCGCCTGGGATCGAACCCAGGACCACAGGATCACAAGTCCAGCGTGCTGTCCGCTCAGTGAACCGGCTCCCGGGTCGGCCTTACTTCCAACTTATTTCTACCATCTAACTACTCTTTTCTGGAGAAGTTTGGTTAGGTTAAATAATATTAGGTTTATTGTTATTTTGAGTTAGGACCAAGTTGGAAATTGACCAACATAAACAAATTACTGAAGCATCTATGCCTCAAAACAGCTAACTTATGATGTCACATCAGTGATGAAATGATATGAAATATGTACGCATAACAACTGGGTACATGCATTTAATATCAACATAAGGAATATGTTAGAGCAGTATGTAATTCAGTGTATATGAAAGCCTAATGAACCATTACCTAACCTATTATACAAATAGAGTACTGTATGTTGAAGACAGACCAAATGGATGCTGAGCCGTTTCACTATAATTTACACAATGTATGGAATAACTCAATTTAATTACAAAAAATTCACTAAAACAGTGGTACAAGAATGTAACAACTCTTGTATATACCTCAAAAAAAAAAATATAGTATTACTGTAAATATAGGCCTACAATGTAATATGTGCATATATATATTTTGCTCATAAATCAGTTTGTCACCACCATTTGGTCCGGGAGACATCTCCCGTCACGCAGGGTGCAGTCGCACCTCCACAGATTTTTTTTTTTTTTTTTTTTTTTTTTTTTTTTTTTTTTTTTTTTTTTTTTTTTTTTTTTTTGAGATATATACAAGAGTTGTTACATTCTTGTAGAGCCACTAGTACGCGTAGCGTTTCGGGCAGGTCCCTGGAATACGATCCCCGCCGCGAAGAATCGTTGTTACATCCAAGTACACATTTTACTGTTGAGTTAAACAGAGGCTACAGTTAAGGATTTGCGCCCAGTAAATCCTCCCCGGCCAGGATACGAACCCATGACATAGCGCTCGCGGAACGCCAGGAAGAGTGTCTTACCACTGCACCACAGAGACTGTCTTTTGCCTATTGCCTATCATCTTTTGATACTGGTAATGGCTCAAAAGGGCCACCACTTACGGGCTATTCATGCCCGTGCCACCTCTTGGGTGGCTTAATCTTCATCATCAATCAGTTTGTCACAGCACAGAGGAAGTGACTCATAATAGTTAAATAAATTTAACCTAACGAAAATAACAAGCAAATTTGTTTATATATACAGCATATATGTGTAACATCACTGACAAAATGAGGTTATATCCTGGGATTAGTTTTTTATATTACCGCCTAGACTTGGGGCTCTTTTAGAACAATTATCAATAATTAAGTTATTAATCAAACTTGAGCTTCACCGCCACTGCTGCGTACTTTTTCTAACTGCCTAGAGACGTCCATTCTCTTTTCTACGGTTTGTTCAATCATCTTCAAAGCAAATAAAAAGGGCCTTTGACAAGCCGCCGGCTTCCTGTCCTCGATGAGGCCACCAGAATGCTAGTGGCCGTCAGGTTAATTCTGGTAAATCTTCTTTTTTAATAATAGGTGCAGTTTGGAAGAAGAGTTCGCCAGCCGACCGCTGGAGCCCACAACAACGCCCCGTGTTGACAGTGATCAGCTGGGCTGATGGTCGCTTATGTTCCTGTGGGCCAGACTAGACACGATTCAAAACCGGCCATAAAGTAGGCCGTTCTACGTCATCGCTGCTCTTTTAAACGCCACTTAATTTAACATATACTAGCTTAACCTATCCTAGTGTTATTTAACTTATCCTAAACAAGCCTAAACTATTCTAACTTAACGGAACGAAAGTATGATATTTTTGTATTTTATGCTTACTTCGTGACGTCATTGGCTTTTTTCTGGGGATCTTTTTGGATACTAATTCTACGCGCCCTCGTGACGTCACCGAATCTTTCATTACTGAGAGAATATTACCACAAGCCATTATTGCCAGAAAATTATCAAGTCGATAACAAAAACAAGTAATTCCACATTTCAACAAATTTTGAGCAGTCCGTAAATTTCCCAAGATGTAAAATTATGTGAAGAAAAAATATACATTCTCTTGTTATAACATTCATTATCATATATTTTTTTTTTTTTAGTGTCGGGGGGGACAGGCAGCCTGTACTCACCTAGTTGTGCTTGCGGGGGTTGATCCCAAGCTCTTTGGTCCCACCTCTCAACTGTCAATATATATATATATATATATATATATATATATATATATATATATATATATATATATATATATATATATATATATATATATATATATATGTCGTACCTAGTAGCCAGAACGCACTTCTCAGCCTACTATGCAAGGCCAAATTTGCCTAATAAGCCAAGTTTTCATGAATTAATTGTTTTTTGACTACCTAACCTACCTAACCTAACCTAACCTAACTTTTTCGGTTACCTAACCCAACCTAACCTATAAAGATAGGTTAGGTTAGGTTAGGTAGGGTTGGTTAGGTTCGGTTATATATCTACGTTAATTTTAACTACAATAATAATAAAATTGACCTCATACATAATGAAATGGGTAGCTTTATCATTTCATAAGAAAAAAATTAGAGAAAATATATTTATTCAGGAAAACTTGGCTTATTAGGCAAATCGGGCCTTGCATAGTAGGCTGAGAAGTGCGTTCTGGCTACTAGGTACGACATATATATATATATATATATATATATATATATATATATATATATATATATATATATATATATATATATATATATATATATATATATATATATATATATATATATATGCGAACAAGCCTGAATGGTCCCCAGGCATATATGCAACTGAAAACTCACACCCCAGAAGTGACTCAAACCCATACTGCTAGGAGCACTCTGCAACTGGTGTACAGTACACCTTAACCACTCGACCATCATGACCGGACAAAATTTCGCATTTGTGTTCCTCACGTGTATGCCCCAAAGAATGAGGTGATTTGATGAAATACTATGCTCAAGATTACCATCAGAGTGCCGGCGGGATGATGGGGTATTAGCCTCGGCTACCATCATCTTTTGTCCAGTCATGATGGTCGGGTGGTTAAGGTGTCCTGTACACCAGTAGAAGAGTGCTCCTGGCAATATGGATTCGAGTCACTTCTGGGGTGTGAGTTTTCAGTTTATATATATATATATATAAGTATATTTTGGTAGCAGTCTTTCCTGTAGACATATATTATTAAATATGACCGAAAAAGTAAGATTAATAATTATAACACGAATTTTCTCAATCTTTCATACATTTCTTTTCACTGCTGGTGGTAATTCAAAAATCAATTCTCCAAAATTCATTTTTATTTCTAGTCTAAAATAAAAATGAATTTTGGAGAATTGATTTTTGAATTACCACCAGCAGTGAAAAGAAATGTACGAAAGATTGAGAAAATTCGTGTTAGAATTATTAATCTTACTTTTTTTTTTGGTATATATATATATATATATATATATATATATATATATATATATATATGACTATATGACTCAGGTCAAATTACTGACCCCACTCAGGATGCAGCCCCACAACAAGCTGACTAACTCCTGGTACCTATTTACTGCTAGATGAACAGATGCATTAGGTGAAAGGAAATGAGCCCAATTATTTCTGTCCCACCCGAAATTCTATCCCGGAATTCTCAATTGTGCATGGAGAACAAACCCGACTGTACTACCGGGACCCAAATACGAACATTATTATTTATTTATTTACATAATTCCAACTAATTTTGAGTGGTTAATTTGTATGGTTTTGGGTAACTGTAAGAACCCACAAAGACATCTCAAAATGCTTCCCTTGAAACTCGTATTTTTCATACGATTTCATTATAAAAATTTGTTTATTAAATATAAAAATAATTTTCTTTAATGCTGTACATTTAGCATCAATATTATAGCAAACAAATATGTTATATTTCTTCCATAGTTACAAAATTCTAATTAGTTTTGGGTGTATTTGGGTAATTATATAAGAGGCTCAAAGCTGTCTGCGATTTAATTTACCTGAGGGGCCACTATCTCACTAATGGCCCTAACGAGGACAGGAAGTATGATTACACGAACACGGATAGTTATAGTTTGCAGTTTCAATGATACAGTAGTTTCGTAATTAGGCTAGAACTGTACAGCACCTTCCATGTGTGTTCTGACCGACTCATTTTATACGTATGAAATCCAACTTGTGATTGCCTTATTACGGTTATAGATAACTGTTTAGTAGTCAAGATTGTAACTTAATGATTTCATTAGGCCATCTCGTCCTTTGTCTTGCAAAGTGGTTTGAAAGGCTTTTATTCATGTTAAATTTCCTTTCACCTAATGCCTCTGTTTACCTAGCAGTAAATACAGTAGGTATCCAGAAATTAGGCAACTGTTATGGAGTTGCATCTTGGGAAGGATCAGTATATACAGTACCTGTATATACACAGGCTGCCTGTCCCCAACAAAATGAATTATTATTTTCATTAAAATCATCTTTCACATCTCAGATTACCTGCAATAGTCAACAATATAATTTCTTTCCTCCTGTAGTTTATTTCAGTTCATTTAAGCACCCCCATACCCATTCCATGGGGAGTGGTGAACCCATACCCATCCCATGGGCAGTGGTGGCCCTCAGAAAATTTATGGTAATTCACAGCACACCCTTGCATCACATTCAAACGTAGGGGGTTGGCAAGCAGGCATTTATGTAGTCCTCTGGCAATGTGTATACATGTCTATTTTTTTCTAACTAGAGCCTTTATTCCACTAGTCCCTTTCCTTCCCTACTTATTCTCCCTCTCGGCTTCAATTGCACAATTTTCTCTTTTATCTCACATGTCATGTACTTCATTTAAACAAATGAATTCATTCATAATAATTGAAGTGAAATAATTCAGCATCATATTCTGTTTATCCAGCAAGTGTCTCAGCCATATATATATATACAGTACAGTATATTGACCAGACCACACACTAGAAGGTGAAGGGATGACAACGTTTCGTCGATCGACTTGAGAATGGTCCAGGACAGATTGAAACGTCGTCGTCCCTTCACCTTCTAGTGTGTTGTCTGGTCAACATACTTCAGCCACGTTATTGTGACTCATCGTCTGCATATACAGTATATGTTTCAGAAATTCAAGCATAACACCTAGTGTTGAAACTATGCACTGGTTATTCCACACACATGCACTTTAATTTAAAGTAGTTATGTATATCACTAAGATCTAATATGTATACTGATGTACAAAGAAATTAAACATAGATGGTTACTTCTGTAATCAAAACAATTGTTTGAGATGGGTGATCTGTGTTATGTGTTGATCCAGTACAGCTATAATTAGTATATAGCTGTACTATTAGTAATTAGTAAATAGCTGTCAAGCTATAATTGGCAATGAATTTGTGGTAGTTTAATGAGATGTTTCAGTCCACATTATTTTTTAGCATTAATTTTGGCATGTAACAGAAAAAGACAGAGAATTCAGTCAAAACAAGGGTAGATTCATCCTGTCACTCCCCTTGTCACCATGGCTTCACTGTCACTCTCCTTGTCACCGTGGCTTCACTGTCACTCTCCTTGTCACCGTGGCTTCACTGTCACTCTCCTTGTCACCATGGCTTCACTGTCACTCTCCTTGTCACCGTGGCTTCACTGTCACTCTCCTTGTCACCATGGCTTCACTGTCCTCCCCTTGTCACCATGGCTTCACTGTCACTCTCCTTGTCACCATGGCTTCACTGTCCTCCCCTTGTCACCATGGCTTCACTGTCACTCTCCTTGTCACCGTGGCTTCCCTGTCACTCCCCTTGTCACCATGGCTTCCCTGTACTCTATATATTAAATGTCTCAATGGAGAGAGATGCAAATTGTGGACCAGATCATGAATTTGGATAAAATTCAACTAGTAAATGTTTAACTATATGAAACTGACATTACTGATTAATGGTCACAATTGACAGCTTAACAAAAAAAAAAAAAAAAAAAAAAAAAAAAAAAAAAAAGAGTAAAAAACACTAATAACAATTAATTTTGTCTGAACAGAAATGAGAGGACTACAGTTAGTTGCAGAATGCTGGGGGCAGAGATCGGGTGATGTAGCTGCAGCATTCCCAGTACATGCCGAGGAGACCAAGGAGAGCTTTTAACCCGTCCTCTCGCCTAATACTGTATGCTGCAATTTTTATGGAATCCACCAATCCGTTAAAAATGTGACATACAGTACTAACAACAGTAGTTAGTAAACAGTTGATTGACAGTTGAGAGGCGGGCCGAAAGAGCAAAGCTCAACCCCCGCAAAAACACAACTAGTAAACTAGTAAACACAATAAAAGCAAAATATTGACACTTTCTGATCATCGGCTTCGATAGGCTAAGTTGGTTGCCTGGGTTCAAATGTTTCTGGTTAAGCATAAACATTGTATTTTTTACGGAGTGGCAAATCGAGAAGAAACAGGCTGGGAAAGCAGACCTCTCAGGAATAGAAGAGGAGGCAGGAGAGATGAGAGATATTCTAATAGTTCTAGTCCAAGGCCAATAATTTAAAGAGACAGCTCTCCAGCATTTATTGGTCTTGTATATGTGTGTGGGCCAGAGAGAGGAGAGGTGATGGAGAGAGTCGAGTGTGATGGTCACAGTTTAGCAGTAGAAATAGTGCTACACGGAAAAAAAAAAATCAGATGTCGAGGAAAATTTTTATTATATGCACAACTTAACTTAAGGTTACAGACATTACTGATACAGTAATATACTATTACTCTAGATCAGGTACAAAATAGCCTTATAAAACTATTTAGTTTAATATAAGTATTTTGATAAATAAATTATATTGCTCTGAGTTCAATTATCAAATGATGATGAACTTGATAACTTTGGACTGCTGCTACTGTCTGAAGAACTACTTGCGGTTTTTTTCATCCTTCTCTCATTATCTGCACGACTTCCGTCGCTCGACTGCTCCATCTCCTCAACACGCTCAGATTTGCTGGAATGTCCACTTTGACCACTCTCACCTGAGACTGATGGTCGCTTGTCATTGCTCTCCGATGTATCTGGCACTTGATTCTTATTGCTTAATTCCCTTTCCTCCTCCTCTTCCTTGAAAACTTCTTCCTGGGCAGCTAGAATCCCAATAGTAATAATAAACAATTTAAAAACCATTAACACTAACATTATTCCCTTTTACTTAATTCCCAAATAGTGAAACAATTCCCACAAATTTAAAGCATATTTCTCCATATTTTTGTTCATAAATGGGTTCTGTACCACAATGGTCTATGTCCTTAGCTCACAGTCGAGGGCTCCAGATTTAGTTCTGCATTCAGGACCAGTAGTTGAGCGTGCTTCATTACACTTGATGCGCCTGTTGACCTAGCAGTAAAATAGGTACCCAAGAGTTAAACTGCTGTGGGTTGCATCCAAGTGAAGGTCTGAGGCCTAGAGAAACTTGGGCCTCCTGTCCCAGACAATGGGAATTAAAATAAATTATTAGGTGTAAATGGACTCTGCTGCTGATACTCAGGTTATAAAGTTCATAAAATAGATTTTCCTGTATTGCTTTGCATAGTATTTGCTTCTTTTTATGTGCAGCCCCTGTACCTACAATTATACCTCTTCTTATGTATTTTGCCTGCATATTATGACTAAAATATTATTATTATGAAACGAAAAGTGGATAATGGTAACATGAAATGTCTTGGCACCTATAATGGTTGGCAGTGTGATTATTGGTTTCCATTGTTTATCGAGGTCTCCTTAGCCAACAACTGACCTTCCCAGTATGTGACCTACCACTGTTGACTCTCGGGTACCTATTTATTGCTAGGTAAACAGAGGCAGTCTCATTCTCCAGGCATAGGACACAAAATCAATAGCTTGAGATCCGAATGCACTAACTGTTGTGTAACTTTTCTAATAGTTTAAGTATTCTAGTTTAAACTTTCTACTAGTTGTCCTAACAACCCAGCCGATTCACATGCTGGGGGCAAGTTGGGGGCCTGGTGGATAGCGCGCAGGACTCGTAATTCTGTGGCGCGGGTTCGATTCCCGCACCAGGCAGAAACAAATGGGCAAAATTTCTCTCACCCTGAATGCCCCTGTTACCTAGCAGTAAATAGGTACCTGGGAGTTAGTCAGCTGTCACGGGCTGCTTGCTGGGGTGTGTGTGTGTGTGTGTGTGTGGTGTGGAAAAAATAATAGTAGATAGTAAACAGTTGATTGACAGTTGAGAGGCGGGCCGAAAGAGCAAAGCTCAACTCCCGCAAACACAACTAGGTGAACTAGGTGAACACATATTCTCCCAAGATGTGAAATCCAGATAATACTCCTTGCTCATGGTACTCATGATACGTACTCGATCATCTGGAAACATATTCCTGGGAAATCCGAGAAATATACTGTACAGTATATATATTTTTTTGCAGGGTTAATTGTGCACAGGCCCTCAACCTCTATATGGGCCATTAACATACGCACTGATCGACAGTACCCATCCTGATGACGTCAGGCACTCTTCCAAAGATCTGATGTATCAGTCCAGAGATCCAGGGAGAGCCTGATGATCCAGAGCAAGTGCCTATGTATGTATTTATATATATGTATATATATATATGTATATTTATATATATATATTATATATATATATATATATATATATATATATATATATATATATATATATATATATATATATATATTTGCCTAATAAGCCAAGTTTTCATATATATATATATAGGTTATATATATATATATATTCATATATATATATATATATAGGCAAATATATATATATATATATATATATATATATATATATATATAATATATATATATATAATACATATATAAATACTTCCTGTCCCAAACAAAATGCATTATTATTTAATCTAACAATAATATTTCTGTAAAAATAAAAAGCATTGGTAAAACGACAGGCATCAGATGATACCCAAAATGTGAGCCACGAGCTAAAATGCTATGCATGTTAGTCCCTTTTTATTCATTTTTATTTATATATACTGTATATGTATATACATGAAGTTATAAAAGGTTGTGAAAGTACACACATTTGGTGATTAAATGATGCATTCTTGCAAAGACATTAACATGGTAACATGAAAAGTGTTTTGGGCAAGTTTTAATGCTAACACACAGTTTGCAGTAAATGTTACATTACAGGGAGATATGCAGTAGGTAATCTCAAACATAAAATAAATGTAGTGAAACGTATATATACACCCTTTAATCATGAAAATTTGAACTCGCACAACCCACTGTATCTTCTTGTATATATATAAATAAACAAAAAAGCTACTGTATATCCTTTAATATGAACTCTATAGGATAGTACTCACACTCCATAAATAACTGAAATGAATTAAAATGCTAGAAATTCTCCCTAGACAACTTCATACCAGTAAATGCAGCTGGATATTGGTTAGACAATTTTGTTTTGATTGTTCTAATACGCTTGAAGACATTATCGAGATCCTTCTTCATATCAATCAGGAGAGCGGTGTGCTTCTTGAACTCCTTCTGTGCAAGAGCAAATCTTGCAGCTGACAGAGAATTGCAGTTGCTGAGCATCTCGTTAGTCTTTTCAAACCTCTGTAGCCTAGAATAAAAGAAAGAATAAACATTGTCATAAGTACAGTATATAATGATCACATGAATACATGTACAGATCAACACAGTTCTGTACTGTATTTACAGTATGTCAAAAATGCTGTGAATACTGTAACTAGTGGCTTTATATAATATGTAATTACTTTACTCATTATGTAATCACTTTTAACTTGTCTAATATACTATTATATGAATAAAATAATAATAAAAATAATAATAATAATATTATTATTATTATTGAGAAAATCTCTCTATTAATGTAATATTATTGCAGCATTACAGTACAATCTCGATTCAACGAACTACTATATGGAACCAACCCCAATTCGTTGCGGCGAGACATTCATTACAACCGGAGATGCCTCTAGGATGCATTTCCCACATCCCATGTGTTAACTCAGCAAAACTTTCATTTCAACCCAAAATATAATAGACAATTACCAAATAAACATGTCTGCTAAAAAATGTAACCACATCTAGCACATTTCTCACATCCCCGACCTCAAAACTTATTTTCCAATGGTAGAAGAGCCATACCTAAGTGAAAGAAAATCTTGCTAACCCAAAATTAAAATAAAATTTGGTTTTAAATATCCTCAATAGTTTTCCCAAGGCTCCAACTATTTCTTGTAATGTTGAGTCCATCTATAAAAATAAAAAAACATGATTGAAGCCATATTAATAATGCTACCATTCATACCCCAATTTTACTCACACACTATGGCCTGATTTCACTTAGTGAGATTTTAATTTCAACCTGTCATATGAAAGACAACTATAAAGATTACCTGCCTGTAAAGACACTTAGCAACATCTTTTTTTTTTTTTTTTTTTTTGAGATATATACAAGAGTTGTTACATTCTTGTACAGCCACTAGTACGCGTAGCGTTTCGGGCAAGTCCTAACCTATGGTCCCTGGAATACGATCCCCTGCCGCGAAGAATCGTTCTAGCATACTTCCCACATCCTAGCCTTGAAATCTCATTTTCAAAGGAAAAAAAAACCATATTAGTGAATGAAAACTGCAGCATCTCAAAATTAAAATTAACCATAAAATTTGGGTATGCTCAATAGCTTTGATCTTCAGAACTGTGATATGACGTGCTAAAAGTTATTGGAAAGGAACCAGTTAATTTCTACAAATATCAATGTTTGGATGAAAAGGCTGCTATGTATTTATGTGCGGTATACATATTGGATATATTTACATCTGCATTTTTTTATTTACTTTCTATATTTTATTAAGTTGCAGTAAATACTGTAACACTACATCTGAGTTCAATTTCTGGGCAAGGTGTAATATCTGGGCAAGTTATCTTATACTCTGTACCCGTAGTTGGCTTCACGAGTTATTATACTGTACTCTCCAAAATAGCCATCGGGGACCAGGTTTATTTGGTGATGGCTGAATGATTCGTAAGACTGTTGCCTGTAGCAACATGCAGGCCCATATAGCCATTACAATACAGCTGATCCACTACTTTTTTCAGGAACTTGTCCAATCAGATTTTAAAATCTATCTAAACTAATCCAACCTAATGATATAGGCAATGTTAGCAATTGGAAAATGAGTCATATGCAAAACACCCAAAGCCTGCATCCAAGTCTATTAATAATAATAATAATAATAATAATAATAATAATAATAATGGTAATGTCTTCTCACAGGCTTAGATCTTGACAAAGTCCTGACCATGACCACCTCCTGACCATATCACCTCTAGAGGTGACATGGTCAGGAGGTCAAGAAGGATAAGAGGGCTGGATCCTCGGGTAGCAACTGTGTTAGTCGTTGAGATGTACATCTCGTCCTAACCACATGCCCAGACCTTGATAAAACACTCAGAAGACTACGAAGGACTTGGTGTAAATCCTTACATAAAATACACAAATACATAAGCATGGGTTTTATCCAAAATAATAATATGTAATAATAATTTAATTCATAATGTACACACAAAAAAAATTAAAATAATAATACACAGAGAAATCACAGTATCGTGATACAGTATATCGATGAACAGATCTACAGGGACCGTGTTAAGGGTTCGAACGTATGCGCCGGGTGTTCCCAGGCACGCTCTAGTCGACTATTAGAGCACAGAACACCTTACGCATAAGTTCGAACCCTCATCACGGCGTTTTGTTAAACTACCATTCAAGCTGTCATTGCAATCATTCTGAGCTACCTATGTGCTTTAATATACCTACAATTTTTCTCTCGACTTTTATTTTTTTCATGCTTTGTAACTGTTATCATTTTTATAAATTTTGCAAGTATTTACCTGCTTATAAGTTTCTTTAGATTAAGGACCTGCCCGAAATGCTGCGCGTACTAGTGGCTTTACAAGAATGTAATTACTATGCTATGTATCCTCACAATCCCAATGTACCTTCTTGTATATATATAAATAAATACATACAAGTGATGTTACATTAATGGATTGATATATAGATAGAGCTAGTACATACAATGCCTAAAGCCACTATTACGCAATGCGTTTCGGGCAAGAAAAACATTAATATCTAGAACTTAATACTAATTGAGCATAAAGAATAAAGAATAAAGAATAAAGAATAATCTTCATAATAATAACAGCTCATAATCTTCAGCATATTAGAACATAGACCGAAATATATATATACAGTATATATAATAAATAAAATACTCTTTAAATAAACCTAGCCTAATCTAACAAAAATAAAGCAAATTGGTTTTTATATATATAGAAAATACTATAAAATGATCTTTATGGATATTATTACAAGTATCAATACTATTATGATCACCGATATACGATTATATTATTTATATGAATTTCCCCGTTGTTCACTAACACACCAGCACGCACCTCGACAGGGACAGGAAGCCGACGGCTTGTCAAATGTCCCCCCCCCCTTCCCTATCCCTTTGCTTAAGATCACAGCTATAACCGCTATCATGCTCTCTGCCACAGCTATTACAATCCCAGCTACAATCGCTACGATCCCCCCCGAGAGACCATTCCCAATCCCCAGTGAGGAACAGTGCCGCTAAGGCTCCACTAGGCCCGGGGGGGCTGGAGAGAGAGAGGCACTGTTGAGGCGGCAGTGATGGCACTCACATCTGCTTCTGGGCCCTGATGATGGCCTCGACGTCTTGCTGGTTGATCTGGCCGGCCAGGCCCTGCACAAACACCTCCGGCGCCGTGTAGTTCTGGAAACAGTCGATGCTGCCCAGGTCACTGTCGGGGGAGGAGGCGGCCATGTTGCTTCACTGACAGCTGCTGGCCTAGGGGGGGAGGGGAGGGGGTGTTTGGCACTGTTGGTGGCCTGGTGGTGACGGCCTGGTGGGGGGGGTTGGCACTGTTGGTGGCCTGGTGGTGACGGCCTGGTGGGGGGGTTGGCACTGCTGGTGGCCTGGTGGTGACGGCCTGGGGGGGGGGGGTTGGCACTGTTGGTGGCCTGGTGGTGACGGCCTGGGGGGGGTTGGCACTGTTGGTGGCCTGGTGGTGACGGCCTGGGGGGGGTTGGCACTGTTGGTGGCCTGGTGGTGACGGCCTGGTGGGGGGTTGGCACTGTTGGTGGCCTGGTGGTGACGGCCTGGGGGGGGTTGGCACTGTTGGTGGCCTGGTGGTGACGGCCTGGGGGGGGGGTTGGCACTGTTGGTGGCCTGGTGGGGGGGTTGGCACTGTTGGTGGCCTGGTGGTGACGGCCTGGGGGGGGGGGGTTGGCACTGTTGGTGGCCTGGTGGTGACGGCCTGGTGGGGGGGTTGGCACTGTTGGTGGCCTGGTGGTGACGGCCTGGGGGGGGGTTGGCACTGTTGGTGGCCTGGTGGTGACGGCCTGGTGGGGGGGTTGGCACTGTTGGTGGCCTGGTGGTGACGGCCTGGTGGGGGGGTTGGCACTGTTGGTGGCCTGGGGGGGGGTTGGCACTGTTGGTGGCCTGGTGGTGACGGCCTGGGGGGGGGTTGGCACTGTTGGTGGCCTGGTGGTGACGGCCTGGTGGGGGGTTGGCACTGTTGGTGGCCTGGTGGTGACGGCCTGGGGGGGGGGGGGTTGGCACTGTTGGTGGCCTGGTGGTGACGGCCTGGGGGGGGGGTTGGCACTGTTGGTGGCCTGGTGGGTGGGTTGGCACTGCTGGTGGCCTGGTGGTGACGGCCTGGGGGGGGGGGGTTGGCACTGTTGGTGGCCTGGTGGTGACGGCCTGGGGGGGGGTTGGCACTGCTGGTGGCCTGGTGGTGACGGCCTGGGGGGGGGGTTGGCACTGTTGGTGGCCTGGTGGTGACGGCCTGGGGGGGGGGGTTGGCACTGTTGCTGGCCTGGTGGTGACGGCCTGGGGGGAAGAGGGTGTTTGGCACTGTTGCTGACCTGGTGGTGTGACCTGGGGGGGGTTGGCACTGCTGGCCTGGTGGTGACGGCCTGGGGGGTGACAGTCTGGCACTGCTGGCCTGGTGGTCACTACCTGGGGGGTGACAGTCTGGCACTGCTGGCCTGGTGGTCACTACCTGGGGGGTGACAGTCTGGCACTGCTGGCCTGGTGGTCACTAATAATAGTGACGGCTTGTCAAAGATCCCCCCCCCCCATTTGCCTCTGATAATCTTTTCCAGTTGTATTTTAAAACCCAACATGGTTTTGTCATTTACGGCTTCGGCGGGTAGGCGGTTCCACGGGTTAATAACCCTATGGGTGAAGAAGCATCTGCTGTTCTCAGTCCAACATTGTGGCTTGTTGAGCTTGAACCCGTTGCTCCTTGTTCGTGTTACATCTGATCTGAAGAAATAATAATAATAATTATAATAATTTTTATTTAGGTAAAGGTACATACATAAAGAGATTTTACAAAGTTTGTTGGCTTTATAGATAGAGCTAATACATACAATGCCTAAAGCCACTATTACGCAAAGCGTTTCGGGCAGCGAAATTGTCCGGATCAACATCCTCCAACTTGTTCAGTATTTTAAAAGTCTCATTGAGATCTGCCATCTCATGCCTGGTTTGTAGTGTTGTTAGTTCTGTGGCCCTTAACCGTTCCAGGTACCTGAGATGACTTAGCTCTGGAATGACTTTTGTTGCCCGGTGTTGCACCTTCTTCAGAGCAGTTGTGTTTCTGAGCATGAGGTCTCCATGCTTGGATGCAATAATCTAGGAGGGGTCGCACAAGAGACCTGTACAGTTTAATGAATGCCTTGATACCTGGTTTATGGGGTTCTGGGAGTTTACAATTTGTACTCCCCCAAACCCGGCCCGAGGCCAGGCTTGACTTGTGAGAGTTTGGTCCATCAGGCTTGGAGCGAGTATATTATTGGGATAATCTACTCGCTATCTGTAGCGAGTAGATTATCCCAATAATATACTCGCTCCAGGCTGTTGCTTGGAGCGGCCCGAAGGGCCACATACCCACCACAGCCTGGTTGATCCGCCACTCCTTGGAGGAAACAATCTACTTTGTCTTGAAGATGTCCACGGTTGTTCCGGCAATGGTTCTTCTTTTCGTTAAAGGTAAAGGTATGCTTAATTATTCCCAGGGGCTTTCTCCAGATAGTTCCCTTCCCTTCCCAGGGTTTGGTCACAAGATTACCTTCTTTAGGAAGTAATTTGAATCTTTACTCAATTACAGATGACCTTCTCCCACTTCTTCACAATATATAATCCCCCAAAATGTGTTTATGGAAATAATAAAGGCGAAAATATGCTTTTACTAAAGGCGACTTGTTTTTAACGTTTTCTATAAAAATTCGATATTGTAATTTTCTATCATAACTTATGGCTGACTTAGCTAAAAAAATCGAGTAATTTTTACTGCTGCTTATGCTTCTTCCTTATTGATATTACCACTAAACACAATCATTAAAATAATATACAGTATTTGCAAAATTATATGCAAGATAATGGTAGAGAAGTTTCTCATTGTCGAGTTAGCAGAGCTTACTAAGTATAGTAGATGCAGTCTCCGTGGTGTAGTGGTAAGACACTCGCCTGGCGTTCCGCGAGCGCTATGTCATGGGTTCGTATCCTGGCCGGGGAGGATTTACTGGGCGCAATTCCTTAACTGTAGCCTCTGTTTAACGCAACAGTAAAATGTGTACTTGGATGAAAAAACGATTCTTCGCGGCAGGGGATCGTATTCCAGGGACCATAGGATTAAGGACTTGCCCGAAACGCTACGCGTACTAGTGGCTGTACAAGAATGTAACAACTCTTGTATATATTTAGAAAGAAAGAAAGAATAGATAGTAATTTCGGGTGACAGTAACCTTCCACCACTGAACTGATTCATGATAATTTACCTGAGGACCACTAACACTCGAGTGGCCTCGATAAGGACAGGAAGCCGGCGGTTTGTCAAAGGTTTCCCCATTTGTCCTGATGAAAGCAAATCAATTTATAAAGCAAGTCCTCATACCCCAGCTCCTTGTCCTCATATCCCAGCTCCTTGTCCTCATACCCCAGCTCCTTGTCCTCATATCCCAGCTCCTTGTCCTCATACCCCAGCTCCTTGTCCTCATATCCCAGCTCCTTGTCCTCATATCCCAGCTCCTTGTCCTCATACCCCAGCTCCTTGTCCTCATACCCCAGCTCCTTGTCCTCATATCCCAGCTCCTTGTCCTCATACCCCAGCTCCTTGTCCTCATACCCCAGCTCCTTGTCCTCATACCCCCAGCTCCTTGTCCTCATACCCCAGCTCCTTGTCCTCATATTCCAGCTCCTTGTCCTCATATCCTAGCTCCTTGTCCTCATACCCCAGCTCCTTGTCCTCATACCCCAGCTCCTTGTCCTCATACCCCAGCTCCTTGTCCTCATACCCCTAACTCCTTGTCCTCATACCCCAGCTCCTTGTCCTCATATTCCAGCTCCTTGTCCTCATATTCCAGCTCCTTGTCCTCATATCCCAGATCCTTGTCCTCATATCCCAGTTCCTTGTCCTCATATCCCAGGTCCTTGTCCTCATATCCCAGCTCCTTGTCCTCATATCCCAGCTCCTTGTCCTCATATCCCAGCTCCTTGTCCTCATATCCCAGCTCCTTGTCCTCATACCCCAGCTCCTTGTCCTCATATCCCAGCTCCTTATCCTCATATCCCAGCTCCTTGTCCTCATATTCCAGCTCCTTGTCCTCATATTCCAGCTCCTTGTCCTCATATCCCAGCTCCTTGTCCTCATATCCCAGCTCCTTGTCCTCATATCCCAGGTCCTTGTCCTCATATTCCAGCTCCTTGTCCTCATATCCCAACTCCTTGTCCTCATATCCCAGCTCCTTGTCCTCATATCCCAGCTCCTTGTCCTCATATCCCAGCTCCTTATCCTCATATCCCAGCTCCTTGTCCTCATATCCCAGCTCCTTGTCCTCATATCCCAGCTCCTTGTCCTCATATCCCAGCTCCTTGTCCTCATATCCCAGCTCCTTGTCCTCATATCCCAGCTCCTTGTCCTCATATCCCAGCTCCTTGTCCTCATATCCCAGCTCCTTGTCCTCCCAGCCCCTTGTCCTCATATATCCCAGATCCTTGTCTTCATATCCCAGCCCTTTGTCCTCATATCCCAGCCCCTTGTCCTCATACCCCGGCTCCTTGTCCTCATATCCCAGCTCCTTATCCTCATATCCCAGCTCCTTGTCCTCATATCCCAGCTCCTTGTCCTCATATCCCAGCCCCTTGTCCTCATATCCCAGCTCCTTGTCCTCATATCCCAGCCCCTTGTCCTCATATCCCAGCTCCTTGTCCTCATACCCCAGCTCCTTGTCCTCATATCCCAGCTCCTTATCCCTCATATCCCAGCTCCTTGTCCTCATATCCCAGCTCCTTGTCCTCATATCCCAGCTCCTTGTCCTCATATCCCAGCTCCTTGTCCTCATATCCCAGCTCCTTGTCCTTATATCCCAGCTCCTTGTCCTTATATCCCAGCTCCTTGTCCTCATATCCCAGCTCCTTGTCCTCATATCCCAGCTCCTTGTCCTCATACCCCAGCTCCTTGTCCTCATACCCCCAGCTCCTTGTCCTCATATCCCAGCTCCTTGTCCTCATATCCCAGCTCCTTGTCCTCATATCCCAGCTCCTTGTCCTTATATCCCAGCTCCTTGTCCTCATATCCCAGCTCCTTGTCCTCATATCCCAGCTCCTTGTCCTTATATCCCAGCTCCTTGTCCTTATATCCCAGCTCCTTGTCCTTATATCCCAGCTCCTTATCCTCTAATTGAGTAAATTTAGGAGCTTCCTATTGCACCATATAAAAGGAGAATTGGGAAATTTGCAGGCTTATAAAATGCCTTCAATTGTAAGGTAAATTGTATATATAT